GGGATCGGGTCCTCTAAGTAAAAATGTTCAGGACCCCCAAAAACCTCACGAGAACTGAGATCGGGCCCTATCGGGCCTTTATATTAGCTCTATATTATATTATATAAAAAAAATATAATTCTTAATTTTCTAGAAGCGATTATATATAGGTGCTAAAACACCATAGGTGCGTTTTATAATAATTCATTTAATAAATTGATCGACAAAATTTTAAAAATCTTAGTGCTGCGCTATGATAGTAAATCATAAATGATAGCTCTCTGTCCCGCATGTCAGAGTAAAAAGTTGACCTCTTCTCAATAAAGAATGTTAAATTATTGTAAAAGTGTGACCATGACCCGAACTAGCCTAAACCCAGTTTAAATGGTAACACCGTATTTATTTATTAGTGAGCTTCAACTCTCAAATCGAAATTCAAACAATCACGTTACGTTATTGGTAGTAAAAAGTAAATGCCAGATAGCATCATTGCATGTACGTTCATACATACACACTGTGCAAAAATAATCAATCAACTAAGAACAAAACTATTTTATAATTGCAGAAATTTTATAGGGTAACTGAATACTTTGTTCTCTATCCGTTTTTTGTTAGTGAATATTACAGATTCGGAGGATTCGCTTTATATCCGAATTTAATCGAACCTGAAGGAAATCGGATTTACAGCTGTTTTCATAAATTCTGGGGCAACTGATAAAAATTATTTCGGCCGAATTCAATAAGTTTTTGAATTCGGTGTTATCGGAATTTGATTTCGGCGAATTCAAAAACTTATCGAATTTATCAAATTCGGCTGATCAATTTTTATCAGTTGTCCCAGAATTTATGAAAACAGCTGTAAATCCGAAGGTCGAATCTAGTTTTAAATTCTATTTGTATCATATACGAATTTCTAAAAATTTAAAATAAGCACCCCCTGTAATTCATATATACCCGAAAATAAGCACCTCTTATATAATAGAAATGAGTAACTAAATATCAAATCATTCAAATTAATAGTTGAGATTATACCCGAAAATAAGCAACCTTATAGCAAAAAAGGGGTGCTTATTTTCGGAGGAATACGGTATATAGTTTTTTTAAAAAAATTTATTTATTATATTGACTATAAAATTATTTATTTTACCAAACTATTATCAGGATTAATGACAAAAAAATTACAATACAATTCTATATTATCTTTTAAATTAATACAGTAAATATTCAGGCTTTATGATCTTTGGATACTTTCTAAAATATATTGTTTCAAAATAAAATGATTAAATTAATAAAGAAAATTAATTAATGTAGATATTTTTGTTCAAAATCATACCATAAGGCTCGACGACTTTGTACAATTCGGTATATCCTTTGATTTCTAAAGGATTTAATCCTATATTTGTCAACTGTAAATAGCAAAAGATTATAATTTGTATTAAAAAAAAAATTTTTAAAAAAATAATAAATACGCATAAATAGAAAACCCCAAACCTCTTTTCCAAATTGCTTTACATCTAATAATATTTGTAACCTAATTTTGTCCTCATCACTCATTAATGCACCAGATTCGTCACCGCCATCCCCATTACTATTTCCAGCAAAAAAAGAACTTCTGGTACTTTTGCCCTTTTTTAAACGCTTCATAATTTTAGAGCTTTCTTCTGTTTTCTTCAATGTTGTGAGATGCTCAAATACAATGTTGTAATATCTTTGGTCATTAAAAATAATAAAATTGCAATGAATATTTTAGACTGTCAATTAGATAGTTGTATTCTCATTAAATTTACCGTATTGCGACAGCATCAGCCACGATTGAATTACATTCATTCCGTCTTTTGTCACTGAGAAGCTCTTTATTAACCTTACAAAATGTAATCAATGGCTTAATAATATGAGGGACAAAATATGATGCCTCCGTAGGGGGTTTGGTGTTTGATCCACGGAATTGAGTTATAACGCTACGAATGTGCTGACGTAAGGTTTCGGTGCATCTTTTTGTAAGAACGGTTGCAATCTTTTGATTCAAATCTGGAAGATCCGATTGCATAGAAGACAATGAACTTGATATACTCTCTGAAAAAAAGAGAAAAAAAAGGTTTAGAAGTTGTTATACGAATGAAATATTTAATAGATTGGTAGTAGAGATATATTCTGCGCGAGATGACGAATCCATCACACTTGCGATTTCGAGCGATCTGCGTTATCATATTTCGCGAAAGATAAATCATTAATACATTTAAAATAAATCTTATCACATGACAGGTAGGAATCGCACGATAATCTCGCGCACGAGATATGCGAAATGATTTTAATTTATCTCGCGCAAAGTAATCTCTAATTGGCACACACCAACCTTCTATAGCTGGTTGGTCACTCATAGATTCTGGAAGTCTTGTGACAATATGCTCTTGATAAATTTCTTTAATCTAAAAAAAAAAACTTCATTTTAAGATGCTGCTAACATTATTAGGAAAAGCTCTAAAGCAAAGTTGGGTGCAGTATAATCTAGTACAATTTAATAAATTTTTTTATTACAAATAATCAAAGCCTAAACCTCATACATATATTTAACATAAGTTACAACTTTAATTAAAGTACGGGTATAGTTTAGAATATAATTTTTTGACTTTGTTAATACAGTTTTATACAATTTAACAAGTACTAACAAAGTCAGATCAAAAACCACATCCTAAACTACGCTTCCTAATTAAAGTTGTTGCTTATGTTAAATAGAAGTATGAGCTTTAAGGTTTGATTATTTGTAATAAAAATGATAAACTATTCACTTAATTGTACTAGATTGTCCGCGTCCAACCCTATTCAGAGTAGTACATGTCTCAAAAACCTTTAATGTCATATTTTCAACATCATGAGCCACAATTGTCAATAACTTTAACAACTGTTCCTCTTGCGCTTCTATGAGGGCTGGGCTATTTGACGGTCGTAAAACGGGAGAATCTAACTAATAATAGTGTTCATTAACGAGTTAACAGGTATATATTATATAATGTCAAACAATTTATAAAGAGAATTTATATTAGCTTTAGTCACCTTATCATTTCCTTGTGAATTTGTTTCAGATAATAAATCAGTCAAACCCATTAGTACCCAATTTTTGTATCTTTGAATTAGCTATACTCAAAAAAAATAACAATAACATGTAAGTATTGGGTAAACAATCGAGAAAATAAAAATAAAAATAAAAAAAAATGTCTATCTTCAAATAGGGTATTATTACCTGTAGAGTCAGCTTCCAAAATCGGTGAGAAAGTCCATAAACAAACACATCGTCAGCCCAACAACGTTCTATTGCAAATACTAATGATTTGCTTGCAGGGAGCTTTAATGTTGCTAGATGTTAAATCGCAAGGAAAAATTATGCAAATGACAAAGACGTTCGCTCTCAAAGAAAAATAAAAGAAATTCGAGAAAATCTTTACATTGCAAATCATTAGCGCTATCAACTGGTATACCAATCGCAGAAATTAATGTACTCTCAACTTGAGATGAAATTTCCTTAAAACTTGAAAATAAATTGATTTAATAAATTAAACAATTAACAATGCTTGTCTCATTATCATACTCGTATAAACCTACCGCAATTGAAAATAAACTGGCAGCTGCCATCTCTTCATGAAGTCCACGTAAGATGTGTGGTTGCGCAAATATAATAAAGATTTTCTGGACGTGCACATACTTTCAATATCTGAGACAAAATTCATTGATATAGAGTAATTCTGTATTTTTTTGAAAAAAAATAAAGTCGTATGGTATGCGATTAATTATTATTGATAATTTCAATGTCCTAAGTATTAGCTAATTATTAAGTTTCGCTTGCCTTGTGAAAAACATTTGCGATGCCTGGGTTAAAAATTATTGACTGTTTTTTTGTGATTGATTCCACTACTTCAGTCCACATGGAATTTACCAGAATTTCAAAACTAGTACCCTTAAGAATTTTCCTGGTAATCTCCAAAAGGATAAACCAATCAGTATTGATGAGCGTAAGAATTCGGTTATACATAAGTGCTAAAGGCTCTTTTGAATATTGCAGGCTATAGCGAGCTTTAGAAGCTTTTGTGGCAGGACGCGTTGAAGATATAGCAGATGTATAAGGAATTGGCTGTGTCTGATTTTCAAGAATTGGTCGGCTAACTATCTAAAACGATTATAAAGACGAATGATATGGTTAATTCAATAAAGAAACATGGATCAACATGACAGTTAATTATTACTCAGAGATGTTTCAAAATTGGTCCATACTTCATTGATGCTTGGAGCTACCAATTCTGTTCTTATCACTGATTCTGCAGATTTGGTTTGGTCAATCAAGGCATATGTCCTCAAAATCTGGGTCAAAGTTTCTTTTGAAGAAGCGTTGTTTGATTGATTTTTAATGCTGTGCAAAGCAGATCGAAGAGCAGATGATAAATTTGTACGCAAAGTTTCTTTTATTCTAGTGATCCTCTAAAATAATTCACATAAATAAACAGAAAATAACCATTATAAGATTTGTATTTTGTGAGAATACATCAAGACTCGCTTTTAAACTACACTTACCCAATCAATATTCGCAACAAAAGGTAGATCTTTCCCTTTGCTGACCAAGTATTGCATCTGATTATATTCAATTGCCACGCGCTCGATTTGTTTTGCACTGTTTCCACTATTAACCAAAAAATATAAATGAAACTGGGCTTGTAATCATAATTAATATTAAAAAAAAGTCAGATCTGAAAGTACCTATCGTCTTTCGATAAAAGAGATGATGCACTCTCGCTACTAATTAACAATAAATTTTCGACTTTACGAACAGATTCATGGATATTAATAAGCAGTTGTAAGGAAGCCTAATTTATGGGAGTTTTTAAATAAAAGAATGTAATTAAGATCCGTATGAAAGGGCATGTGTCTTTGTAATAAACCTTAACATACCGTTGGGAAAACACCCATAGAATTACAGTACCTTCTTTTCTCGTATGGAGGCCCGGTGAGATAATTGATTTTCTAATGAATCCACAACATTCTGAAAAGTTGTACGGACGTTCTGTGAAGTTCAACATATTTATTAATATAGATGTTTTAAACATATAAATTGACGTGAAATGCTAGAGGCATTTTTTAAATAGCCATAATGACATGCCTGAACTTCTTCTCTCATTTTTCCCAGTGGCCTTGCAACTTCTTCGATGACTTTATCCACACCTTTTAAATTTGTAGAAAGATCCACGAAACTAGCATAATCTCTATTAATCATTTCCACAAGTTCGCTTTTCAAACTTTTCAAATGCACATTCAATTCTTTTTTCAATTCATCCAAGGTTAAGTGACGTCTATTTGCCAGGAAATGATCGCTGTTGAAATCGGGTGTAGAAAACATTTCTCGATTAAGTGGTGGAGGAAATGGTAATGGAGTCCTCCCAAGATTCAAAAAGTCCGGTGTAGGAAGTGGCTTTGACCATGTTTTCGTTTCAGAGGATTCTGGGCCTGTATAAATGCTAAGTTTTGCCGGCTCAGAATTTCGAGGTTGAACTGTTTGTTCGATATTTGCAGATGTTGAAGAGGTCATGTCGAATATTATTTCTTGAAAGGATCTTCTATCATTTGATTTACTTATCGTTATCCTTGTTGCATCTGTGTAATCACGTATTTTCTGTGATTCCGTATTTTAGGTAATGGTTTACGGTAAATCACAGCGATCTATTCTTTAGATCCTTTTTTTTTTTTTGTAAAATGGCCCACGTGATAAGACGTTGTTTTACCACCACAGTCTCAAGGCGGGCTAAAAAACTAACAATAGGTTTAATACCAGCTGATGGTATTGGAAAAGAAGTTACTCCTGTAAGTATTCATTTTTGCGAAAAATTTGATAAAACATGTAGATATTTTATATTTTTGCATTTTTAGGGTGCGAGACAAGTTCTCGAAGCGCTTCCGAATATTGATGGGGATAGTCCAAGCTTTAATTTTATAAATCTAGATGCAGGATTTGAATATTTCCAAAAGAATGGAACAGCCTTGCCAGAAAAAACTTTAGAAATTATGAAAAATGAGTGTGATGGGGCACTTTTTGGAGCCGTTAGGTAATTTGAAATTTACTTTTTTTTTTTGATATGTTGATCATAAAATATTTACATTCGATTGAATTGCTTAGCTCACCATCTCATAAAGTCGCTGGCTATTCATCTCCAATCGTAGCTATGCGAAAGCATTTAGATCTTTACGCTAATGTGAGACCCGTCGTGTCCGTCGCGTCTGAAAAGGACTTTAACCAAAAACACGTCGATATCTTAATTATTCGAGAGAATACCGAATGCTTGGTAAGAATTTAACATTCCACAATAATGTTATTTGGTAACTTATTAATTGCATATTCCCGTGAATAGTATGTAAAACAGGAACGACAAGTAACTGATGAATTAACAGGATTAAAGGTGGCGTGGGCTGAACGGAAAATATCCGAATATGCCTCTAGACGATGTGGTAAAATGGCATTTGAAATGGCTTTAGGAAGGGATAAACTTCGACAAAGTACCCCATTAGAAAAAAGATTTTGGAAAGGGAAGCCAAAGGTAACAATTGTTCATAAATCCAACGTATTGAGCATTACTGACGGTTTATGGCGAGAAACTGTGCGAGGCGTTAAAGAAAACGATCATAAATACGATAGTGTAGATATGGAAGAACAACTCGTCGATTCAATGGTGTATCGCCTTTTCCGCGAACCTCATTATTTTGACGTCGTTGTTGCGCCAAATATGTATGGTGATATCATTAGGTAAGATTATTTCTTATATATCATCTAAATTTCGCAAAAGCACTCATTATTTTTCTGAATAGTGATGGTGCAGCCGCCTTAGTTGGCAGTCTGGGAGTTGTTCCAAGTGCAAATGTTGGTGACAATTTCGTCATGGGGGAGCCAGGTATTTTAAGATAATTCGGTCCCTTCATAGTAAAAAGATCGGTTTAGATCATTCTTTTACAGCCATTATCATTAATCCTGGGACAATTGAAAAAAGTTGGTAAATTTCTGATGTCAGTCGAAGTCAGTAACTTATTGATTCCTCCTATGTCTCAGGATTTATGAGAATAGCTGTAAATTGCAATTGTTTTCATAAATTCTGAGTGCCTAAAAATTTGCACATTCCCCGAGACCTCATTGATCTCGTCCCAAGAATCACCTAATTTTTCGTTGTGTCTGTATCAAAGTTCCAAGGACAGCGAAGTATTTTTCGAAAAGTTAGGTAATTCTTAGAATGAAATTGAAGGGATTTTTGGGAACGAGCAACTTTTTAGTTGTCCCAGAATTTATGAAAACAGTTGTAAACCGAATAAATCGGACCGATAACCTTAATATTCGTTATATTTGTTGAACGAATTATTGAACGATCTTTTGTTATAAATAGTGCATGGATCAGCACCTGATATAGCCGGGCAAAATAAAGCAAATCCTATTGCCGCAATTCGTAGTGCAGGCTTATTGTTAGAACACATGGGTTTTCATCAGCAAGCGCTATGCATTTATAACGCAGTAGATGATGTATTAAGACGTGGGGAAGTTCTTACACCAGATTTGGGTGGAAGAGCGACAACCCAACAAGTCGTAGATGCTGTAATTAAGTTAGTAACCTGACCCAATAATGAAAGAGTCGGCTAAAGTTATAATGATACTGCTGTACTGTATATAATAAGCTTTTGATCATTACAATAAGTTTGTTACATATGTTGTGCCTAATACAGTCAAACCTCTATATATTCACACTCTTGAGTACCAAAAAGTGTGATTATAAAAGAAGTGTGCTAATTATTGAGGTCAAATTTATTATATTTATTAAAATATATATTATATTATAAAGAAATGTGCATATATATAGAAGGTGAATATATAGTAATAAATCGTTGATAAAACTTTTTTTTTGATGTTATTGGTTTTTAGCCAATTTAATTAGATTTAATCATAGAGGTGATAAATTTAAACCACTTTATTAGGGTTGGATTACAAATAGTATTAGTTTAAATTATAATTTTTGTATATTTGTACACAAACCAAAAAAAAAAAAAAAGATATTAAAAAAAATAAACTTACTATTAAAATCAAAAAAGTCAAAATTATATAAATATTGTATATATATAATATATATTTATTGGCAAGCATTTATATATTATAACATGCACCAATGGTGGTATTTTATACTTTTCTTAGTTTTCTAAATTTTTATACTGTAATTATGTTTTGTGTATAAAATTTTGCTTAAATTTTTATGTTAAGAGTTAATATTAGGGATTAAAGTTAGGGTTTGAATAGCGTTTTGGAGGCTTAGAGCAATTTTATTTGGAACACCGCATAAAGATAATATAACATAGATGCACCTTAGTAAAAGTGTTAACAAACAATACAGATAAATAATAAGGTATATATTAAAAAAATAAAATGACCTTACCATCTAAAGAAGCAGAATAAGATCATATTATTATTAAAAATAAAAATTGCATCTTTTGTCTTTAGAATTCTGCATGTGATTAAGACAAATTTTATTCTAATTTCTCCTTCGTAACTCACTGACTAACGTGCTCGTAACTTATATTAATTTATTGCCCACCTTTTCGAAATTTTCTATCACTGGTCTACTGTAAAGAATTTTGCTGTTTTCTAAATTACAGAACTCGCGCCTTTAACCCTAAGTATTTAGAAAATCGCTAAATCAATTTCTAAAAAATACTGTTTTAATCAATTACTGTAGTTACTTTAGATTTTTGGCTTAAAGAATATTGTAAAGAATTGGATTAAGAATAAATATCAGCGTTTTTTTTTTAAATAAAAAAAAAGTTTACATATAAGTATTTCAGCTCATTTTGACTAATAAGTATAGCAGCTAGACTATGTACATTGACTATAGAAAGGTTAACAATAGAAATGATTGCAGTTAATCAGATTGTCCATATTTTAATATAAGCTTTCTTTCAAATTCTTGGGTTGATTCTGACATAAAGATCATCACAATGCTTAACAGTAGAATAATGATATTTGATTGGTGCATTCATATCAACCAGTTCAACATCGTACTTTCTATATAATAAAACCATTAAAGTTTTAAGTTCTACCATAGCAAATTGTTTGCCCGGACCTATAAAAATAGATTAATGTACATTATAAAATGTCTTTGTGAATAAAGCTAATTATGAAAAATTTTAATGATAATTACACATGCGTAACCCTTTTCCAAATATTAATAACGAATTTTTATGAATCTGTGTATCAGAATTATTACTATCATTCATGAATCTCGAAGGATTAAATGATTCCGGATCTTTCCAATCTGCTTCATGCATATGAATTGCTGGAGTATTGATCATGAATTGTGTCGAGCCTTTGAATTTGTGATCTGATATTTCATCATCTCGAATTGCCATTCTCCAAATTACTGGCACAATTGACATTAAACGAGATACTAATACGTAAAAAAAATTCAGAAGTGATGATATTAGGTTACAATATACATACTTACTAAAAACTATATAATCGAGTTTACCTTCTTTGATAACAGCTTCACAGTAATTTAATTTACTCAAATCTTCGTAATTAATAGGTCGATTGAGATCAGTATCAAAGACTGAATTTATCTCTCTAGATACACGTTCTTTAATTTCAGGATAATGCGCTAAATGATATACAATAAAAGAAAATGTACTGGCGATCTACTCTATTTCAATATTCTAGTCCAATTTCTTAAATAAACATAACATCATTAACTAATAAAT